TTCCCCCAGAGGAGCTGGAGGAAGTGTCTGGAGAGAGGGAAGTCTGGGCATCTTTGCTCAGACTGCTGCCCCCGCAACCCGGTTCCGGATAAGTGGAGGAAAATGGATGGATGGATGGATAGGTATTAATATCAGAAGTAGTATTTTGTATGGACCTTAATGGTTGTCCTGTATACTGTAAGTGTGTCGGTGTCAACACACACTTTAATACTAATATGATTCTACTATTATTAAGACAACCTACATTTCTTCTTCCCATGTGTCAGGAAAGTTATGTGACACATCAGGACAAAGTGCGGTTGGCAGGCGAGATTGTCAGCCTCCTGGGAGCGTTTGTAATGCTGCTGCTTGAGGTACATTTATGAAACATTTTTCATCTTCATAGATAGTGTATCCTATATTATAGCACTGCACATACACATCCTGCCCTATCCTTTTTTTCAAACAGGTCCCTGATATACTGAGAGTGGGAGCAAAGCGCTATTTTGGCCAGACGGCACTGGGAGGCCCCTTCCATGTCATCCTGTAAGTATAAACTCCTCTGAGCAGTAAAATGAAGCCTGCTGTTCTTAGAAACCTTCTAACTTGTCTGTTGTTGTTTTGACCAGTATCAGCTACGCATGCTTGGTGGTGTTGCTGTTTGTGTTCAGAGTCTGTGAGGTGCATGATGGAGAGGCCGTGGTAAAGCCAGTGTGCTTAGTTCTTGGCTGGTGCAACATCATGCTTTTCGCCCGAGGTTTTGAAATGCTCGGTCCTTATGTCATCATGATACCGAAGGTAGGAAACAGCTCAGCCTGGACACTACAGAGAATGCAGAGAAATGCTTTGTTATGTTCAGTGTGCAGTGCTGTGTCATAGTAAGAGTTATAATAATGTTGTGCAGGTTGTGGCCACAATTTTGATGCTGGAGAAGCGGCTGGCTCGTTGCCTGGAGGCCCCGCTCCGCTAAAATACAGCCTGAAGGAGCTCTGGTATCTCAGGTGAGAGAACACTGCAGTGCCAGGAACAGAAACAGTGCTGTGTGAATTAAATGGGGGGAAAAAAAGAATTATTTTGAAACAGCACAAATGTACAAAGCTTATAATATATGTGAAGTGCGGTGATAGTGAAACTAGTGTCTTTTCCTCGCAAATAATCACACTGTGAGACACAAGTTTGTTCATTCACCACAACCTCAGCAGCCACATGTTATGCTGTCCTGTGAGTAAAAAATATTACTCTCACTCTATTATTGATACTGCTATTATTATCACTCTCCAACATACAGACAACAACTTTCATTAGTTAGCTGTCCCATACATTAAAAAGTCCATGGCATGCTTTTCCTTGTTTTTTGATGTATCTAGAATGTTACAACAGTGAATTATCATCTTAGACGTCACTTAAAGCTGTATGTTCCATGCAGAAGCAACTTGGTTTATACAAGTCTTGCAGACTTTCACTCGCAAGACTTTTTTCTAACAAAATTAAGTATTGCGTGATAGTTTAAAGATTTCCTTAAATGGTTATAATCTCCAGGAAGTTGCACATTCACATGAGCTTGCCTGACATCCACTGGTGCCATTGTAAAAGCAGAATTTTTCGACTGCATGCGGTTTTGTGGATATATTTTCCCTCCTGCTGCACTGTGACCAGAGGATGTGAAGAAAAATACAGGGCCTGAGGTTAAGGGAAGGAGGAAGGAGAGGAGATCTCATCGGCCGCTGTTCATCCGGGGGCTCAAAGTGGAGAGGGTGAGCAGCTTCAAATACTGTACCTGGGCGTCCACATCAGTGAGGCCCTCACTTGGACACTTAACACCACACAGCTGGTCAAGAAAGCCCAATGGTGGCTGTACTTCCTAAGAAGGCTGAGGAGGTTTGGCATGTGACCTAGGATCCTTTGCAACTTCTACAGCTGCATCAGTGGAAGCTCTTTTTCTTGAGCTTAATTCCTTCCTTGATGTGTTCAGTGAATACACTCTGCCCTCCGCAATGTTCTGTTTGTGAGAAACATGAGAAACTATTATGGCACTTATATGAACATGTCCTCATGCACATCATCATCATTATTATTGTGGGAAAGAATTAGAGGGTATATTGTGAATAATATGCACACCTTTATGGTTTACTCTATCAACTTTGCAGGGTTGAGGATAGAAATGATGCAATGATGCAAAAGATGAAACAATACATCATGGCCTTCTCCAAAGAGGATAAAAAGAAAAAGGAAGAAGCGGAGAAATCTGACTCCCCACAAGAGTCAATCTCAGGAATCTCCAAGCTCAGACAAAAACAAAAGACCTAAAGACACAGGGAATCTAACAGGCTGGCAGATGATTCACCTCAGTACTTTGGGTTTGGAACTAAAGCTGGTAGAGCCAAAGGAAGACCAGGACATTAAATAGGTCTAGAATGAAATCCTAACCATGGGTCTGAAGTGTGTAGTATGATTATTCCATAATCTCACAGTCCTGAATATAATACCTAGATGTTAATCGCTGATAACTTTCAATGAACAAAGTTGTAAGAGAATTCAATTGTCTCAGTTACTCTATATAAAGTCAACAGTGCAATTATCTGCAGTATTACACTATAGAGAAGAGTGTTATTTTTATAGCAATATAACATATCAGCACAATATTGTCATAAGCTAAACTCTGTTATGCCTGGGTCAGATCACAAGGTTTTTTGTCTGATATGATGGTCACTATATCAGATTACATGATTATAGTCATAAATTATTGGATGTGTGCCATGACAGACTACATGTTGGTACCCAACAGATCACAGCCTGACATCACAACTTAGAGGTGCCAGGGACCATGAGAATATAAACACAGAATAGCGGTGGTGTGTGATACTGGCTGCTTGTGTTCTGAAAAGTATAAAAAACTGGGGGTAAAAAAGCCCATGGACCCGTCTTTGGGTTGCACGGAGAGTGCGACAGCCGAGGTGTTGTCTGTCTTTCATGGAGAACTTAAAGTAGCTGTTAAAAATAAGTGTTTTAAGCCGGTAGTAAAACCAAAAACTAGCTAGTTATCCCTGATAGGAAAGCTACTTCACACAGAAATCATTATATCTGATTAAAATGTAAGAATCTCATATTCATTTACACAGAAACTGTTAACACATCTCATTTAAAAAAGGGTCACCATATTATTCTGAATACAAAATAACTTCAACACTTGATTAATCATTGATTATTGATTAACAAATTTTTACTTTACTTTATACATGAAGCCATTATATTTTAATCTCCTTTTCAGTAAACTCAGTGCTTCTTCTTTCTTTTCTTTTCTTTTCTTTTTTCTATTCTTACAGACACTCAGATATCTCTGCCTGCACTTCCTCTTTTATAGGGATGTGTCTACTGATTTCCCCCTTTTCACACACTTTCTACTGCAGGAATATACACATACAACAGTACGTCCCATTGGGAAAAATCATTTATAAAATCATACGTTAGGCTCATAATGCTGTCTGCAGCTGTCTAATTCTCTGCTCTCTTCAACACAAAATAAAATGATCGATTGTCGTGTCCAACACCGTTTGTAAGTTCTGACGCTATACGTCCATCGTGTCAGGCTTAAATCATGTAGTCTGAACCCGGCATAACACTGCATTAATGCTATAGAGGAGAGTGTGTTATTTTTATAGCAATATAAGAGTCCAACATCTGCAGCACATTACATTAAGATTTGTTTTGAACTTAAAACCAGATGGTGAGCCAACCAGGAGTTGATATATTTTTATTTATAAAGCTGTTCAAATCAGACATCTCTCATACATTTGCTAACTTATTTCTTCTTCCAGTTATAACCTCAGATCACAGGACACTTCTCTGCTGTCTGTCTGTCTGTCCCTAACAAATGGACAGAGGTAAGAAAGAAAGCTTTCATATTTTAGCTTCAAAGGGATTTTACCTAATTAAATAAAGGTTAAATGAAATATTATTGAAAATATGTAGCAATAAGATACTAAGCTAAAAATAAAGTCAAATACACACATTCAACTTATTATGTGGTTGCACAAACATTTTATAAGAGAATAAAACTTTGCTGAAACAAACTCACTGGCCAAATGTGAAAAAGTCACACCGTAGTACATGGAATCATACAGTGTATAACTTCATTAATGTTTACAAGTTCTTACAAGCATAATCAATGATATTAGAATACAAAATATGCTACAGAATGCTGCAGGGAAATATAAACTGACTAAACAGCTCTAAATACAAAACATCTGTTATCTGTGAAGCTTCATTGTCTTTCTTTGCAGGATGCTATTGATTTTGGTGTGAAGTGGAAAGAGAGATTATGGGAAATGTTATTAAATTGTTGATCATTGTTGACAGAGAATTGTTTTGCAGATACTGTCAGAACATAACCTGACAGATGAAGTAGGTGTTGGATTGGCAGGATGCTGTGATCCAGTTCTTCTCAGGTGGATTTTTACCGCTCAGGATCCCACAGTCCTGTGATTGTGGCTTTTCTTGCCAGTAACTGCAAAGCACAGAAACAAATATGGATAAGCTAGAAAAGATGTGGAAGGGGAAGGCACAAGTAGTCCTTGTGGTAATAGGAACATTGGGGGCTGTGGGAACAACATCTGAGATCTCTGTCCAGAAGAGTGCAGTGCTATTTTAATTATATTTTTATATTTTATATATATTTAATTTATATTAGGTAGCACTAACATGAAGCTCCAAATCAGTCCACTCTGCTTTGCCCAGCACTCCCTGCTCAACTACGATCTGCTACACTCAGACACACTCTGCTCTGCTCTTCAAATATTTGTCATTATGAAATTACAAGTAATGAGAATGCAACAAAACTTATTGACCAAACAGAAATAATTGAAAATCTCTGACTGCGTAGACACAAAACCTTTTTAGAAGCTAAGATCTCTGCACTGCTGCCAGTACTGTTCAATGAGTTCGGGTCACAGGAGGCTTTGACAGCACCTCTCCACATTAGGTTTTGAAACATAAATAACAAAAACAAAAAAGTTGCATACTGTAGCTTTTAAATTGAATTTACATGTTTCTTACAATGTCAAGAAAAGTTAAACATTTTCACCTTGATAAAAGTAGAATTTATGGCAGATATTATATAAATGAATTGAATAAATTGGCCCATAAGATATCTTATTTTGATGCTCACTTTGGTTATTTTTCCTTTGTTTACAAAAAGAAAAGCAAGAAAAAGGTGTTAGATCATAAAACAGGAGAAACAAACCAAAGACTACAAAGATAAAACAGTCCTTCCTCAACAATGCCTTAACAGAGAATCACCTCTTTTGCAGTACAGTGCCATTGACCCAGGCCCATGTGCTTTCTCTTTTTCTCAGCCCAATCCAGTAATACTGTGTCTCCTTCTCAGTCAGAAACACCTAGAAGACAGAGCAGCATTAACACAAATATAATATGAAAGTTATTACCACTGTCATTAACTGCATGCTTATATTGCAAAGTCAGGGAATGATGTGAGTGGGATCAGAGTTTATGTGAGATCAGATCAACCTGAACTTCCTGGCTGGTGATGACAGCCAAAGATCCTCCTCTAGATGTGCAGTTGTTCACGCTCTCATCCCAAGTCAGCCTGTAGGTGGACAAGTAAAAACATGATCGGCCATAAGTCAGCCAACCATCTGAGCACCGCTGGCAGCCGAGATCTGGGAAGAAGGGAGAGAAACCCAGTATGTAAATACCTATCATGAGGAAAATTGCTCTGAAAATGTCAACAAAATTATTGTTCAGATGCCACTGAACCTCTAAACAATTGCAAGCAGCCTAAAAGGTTTCAATTACTCTTGTTCTTTGTCTTGTATTTATTTGCATTTTGTCCATAATTGTGTAGCATTTCTGAATGTTTGCACATGTATGTGTCCCTATGTAATCAGGAAATCACTCTAAGAGGAATTAATAAAGCTGATGAAACTCAACTGAATGTTGATTTAAATTTAAAAGATGTTTGTTTCTCTTGTTCATGGTTTTCTATATTGTACTGTATTGTACATTACCCTCAGGTCTGAGTTGAATGCTGGGGAAGCGATCCTTGCATTGCTCATAGCTGCACCCTCTCTCTGTTTCTGCGCACACAGTGGATCCAGTTTGGACTAGAAAGCAGAGCACAGTAGGAGGAGATGTGAGGGGGAGAATAATGCCCACAGGCTGCAGCAGTGCAACCGGATACACGCTGCATTCCTGTATTATCTGTTATTATCAGCCAAAACAGAATAACATGCATAGTGATGATGATTCCCAGCATATATTTTACACATTATTTTGCTTCTCCACTGCTTTAGTGTTACAATCATAATCCAACCAGCTGTAGTTTGTTTTTACAGTGACCCATGGCTGCAGATGCTCACGTTTCACACCGAGGATCATGACGACCAACAGCAGGACCAGGCAGATTGTTATGAGTAAGAAACACCCAGTACGGTACAGACGTACATTTCCCTCGGACTGTTTGCCTGAGGAGAAACACATCAACCAAGATGTTAAAGAGAGATTTCAATAACCACAACACAAACCACCATCAAGGCCGAAAGATCAGCTCCAGCTTACCTTTCTCCCCTTCCAATTCAACTGATAACTTGGATGACAAGTTTTCCTTGACTTCATCTTTCTTATCCTCACCATAAATGCAACAAAATTTGATGTATGTGGACAAAACTGTCCTGGGATTTGTGAGGAAGCTTATTGAGCCTGTCCTGCTGATTCACGTCTGCCTATAACTGCGCAGTTTTAAGACACCCCCCTCCCCCTCATATGTCTTGTCACCATAGCAACATGGCCTTCACTGATTCCTAAATAATTCATGGGGAAGAGTGCTCAAATTGTCCTTGAACTTTGCTAAACTTTAGCTCTATCTCCCTTGGTCTCTCTCTTTAGGAATGAGTGTGTGTGAAAGAGTGAAACAGACACTGACAGATACTGTGAGCCTGGTGACTCTACAAATCAGCAGACAGGAATTCTTCCTTGGTCATTTAAGACCAGTGTTTATGTCAAACACTGTTCAGAGACAGAATATACAGTCTCCATTTATGCAGATTTGAAACATCACTTTATAAATATGTGATTAAAGTGCATGAATTTGTGTGTCAAGGGGGGAATCACACTCAAGCAACTGAATTTCTGCTGGAACCTCAAAAATATAAACCAAATACTTCTCATTCTTTTAATAAACAACAGCGTCAAGTAAAGGGGTAAAAACTTTATTTTACTAATAAAACAATCATTTTAGTTTGTGTGTGAATCACTGTGAAGATTGTCATTCAAAACAGTAAAACACCTGCTGTCATTGTTTTCTTTCCTTAATTGGCCCAGTGTAAGAAAACAAAAGACATAAAACATATGTAAAGAATGGTGGATCTGTCTGATTGTGCAAACATTATGGCACAACAGCAAAACAGTCCATGATATTGGCCGATACAGTTACAGAGAAGCGGTGAGAAACTGCATGTTCATCAAGTGCAAGATAAATTTTCACTGTTTTCTAACAAAACATGAGAAACAGATGTATGCCTGCCTAAAAACCAGTTTTGAAAATGTATGTAACATTGTGTCTGGGGCAACTAGCACTGTCACTGCTTGCCAGCTGGATTAAGAGTATGTCATGATAAATTTATTTCGCAGCAGACATTTGGTGGAGACATGATAGAAACAGTGCAGGTTAGTAATAACATTAACAACGGCTCTGTTCTGTTCATGTGTCTCAGAAAGCCGTTATAGAGTGCCATCATGATTTTTATTACTTACACCTATGCCCTTCCTACTGTCACATGTCAAGACATTTTTTTATAAAAGACATTTGCAATTTTATTTACAATCTCATCTCTTTTTAACTTGATAAATTAAAGATATGTAAAAGATTCACTTTCTCAGTAAAGAATATCTTGTGTTTGTCAACTGAGCATAATTTGGAAATATATATTTAACTCCATACTTAAAAATGTAATGAAATAAGCAAAAAAATTTTAAATTGTCAATTTTTAAAATGTCACAAAATCAGTAACATTAAATATATCTATATTCATTAGTTGGTAGCGATCTTTTATTATTATTATTGTTGTTATTATTAATGGTGAAGCCCTTTAAAAAAACAATAACAGTTAACATTTCAACTTTGCTTTGATGATAAATTGTAAATATACTGTAGTGACAGGTTATATCAGAGGTCCAAGAAGAGCCGGGGTCTGTCAGAGGTTTGTTCTGTTAACGGGAGTTTTTCCTCCCCGCTGTCACCAAGTGCTGCTCAAGGGGGTTTTCCTCTATAATAATAATAATAATAGTAAACTCTAGACCTCACTTTGGAAAATGTCTTGAAATGACTTTTGTTGTTACTTGTCGCTATATAAATAAAACTGAATTGAAATGAATTGAATCCAAAAACTGAGGAAAAGAACCTTTAGAAATAAAATGACATTGAAATTGTAGAAGAACATTATTTAGGGTGCTAACAATATTATGAATATTTGAAGGTTTTCATTGCTTTTCTAAAATAATTTAAATTGTGTCACTGTGGAAACTGGAATTGATGTTTTGAAAATGATGATTTTGAATTTATATTTTTATATTTTTGCATTTAAATAATACAAAACAAAATCTTAAATGTACTGTTTAAGATGCATTTTTAGGGTGGTTGGATTTTTTTTTTTTTACAAGAAATTATATCATAATTTAACAGTGACCCGACTCGGTCCCACAGCTTCTCCAAGAATCACTGTCACGTTACAGTTCATAGTTAGGGCGTTTCCCAAAAATGGCTAATGTGGCATTTTGCTCAACTTTCTTTTTGAAAGTTTTCTAAGAAGGAAGTCATAAATTCTTATAAACTGCTGTTGTTTATGTGCAGCAGCATGGAGACCATAATGATGAAACACATTTGTCAGTAATGTAGGCAAGGAGTGCAACAAATGCTTTTTAAATTTAAATTTAAATTTGGTTAAGGGGAAATATAATAAGCCGTTAAACAATATTTGTAATGTTATTATTAAAAAAACAAACAGAAAAACCAGTTTTCTTTTTCATCAGACATGTAGACGTGCTATGAGACATTCTGAAACAGTCTTTGTGTGAATCAGCTGATCACTGAACAGATGACTTGTATTTTAAATAAAAGTGTACCTGCTTTTGTCTTCAATGGTGCATCGCCAAAATAGGCTTCAGAATAGATGTCCTCAGATGCACTTTGTAGTTTCTCATACTCACTTGATTTTACTTCCTCTAAAGCTGGACAAACATACATAGACACATTTTAACAAGACTCATAAAACAATTGATATTTGCTTCCAAACATTCACTGTACTGTAAACAAAAATACAACTAATCCATTTAAGAACTCTGGTGCATTATCTGTTACATAAAATTAAAAAAAATATTTATCATATAGAACACATCAATAAGTCAGGTGAATTCTTTTCAGTTCCACAATATTGTTTATGTTGTGTTACTTAATTAAATTATTTATACCTTCAGTTTTGACCTCCAGCTTGGGTTCAGTTGCTTCTTCCTGTCCTTTATCTTTTTCCGTCTCTATGCTGATCTCTTGCATCTCCATGACTGCTCTCTTCTGTTTCTCTGAGTTTCGATTTGTAGTCTTTTAGCCCTGGCTAGTCAACTGTCAGTGAGGTTATGTAACCTTTTAATTATGCAGAAAAAGATTCAGATAAAACACTATTTGAAAAGGTTTTTTTTATCTTTGTTAAAAAAAAAAGTATAAATAAAACCCAGAACTGCTCCCAGATTTGAGACTGTCCACTAACTTATGATTAAATCAAGACAAAAGACAGAAAACCTCCACATGAAAGTTTCTCTTGCCCTTCCTCTAAATCATACATATGCAAGTAGCATTTCAGGGAAGATGCTACTGTGCATGCGTATTGCCTCATAATGAGTTTCGAGCATTATGGGTGATGACCAAGGTACAATGCTACACTCTGAAAATTACCAGATGTTTAGTCTAAATCTTTCAGTGCAATAAAAAATCTGATCAAACATGATCTATGTGTAGCAATGAAAAGGTTTTGATGTAAATTTGTATTTGTCTTTTCTACTGACATCTGAAACTACAAGGCTGACAGAAGAAAAGACATGGGCAAAAATGGTCTAATCATTCACACAACCAGTAATTATTTTATACCTATCATATGACGCACATATGTATTGTTTAGCCGTCTGTATTCTCTGTGTCTTCATTTGAGACAGCAGCCTGCAGGATGTTTCCAGTAAAGACTGTTACAAGTTTGGTAAAGTATGAGAAAAAGATATGTGATTTTGCAATTATTAATAATTCCTGGTTTTATAATCTTAAGTATTTGTTATTATATTTTTTTCTTTATACAACAAGCAGAAAGTGTGTTTTCTGTTTTGGGTTGATCAGTGTTCTTGGCACAGTGACAGGGTGTAATATCAGAACACTTTCGGAACAACAGCAAGAACTATTTAATGGTGATATGAGAGAGAAAAGATAAACCACCTCTCATCAAACTTAATTTGACAGGTGGCCACGCCCCCTTTGTCCATTTTTCAGCCAATCAGAAGCGTCCTTTCAGTCCTTAGTCCCGCCTTCCGGTTTCCTTGGTTTCCTGCAGCTGGAGATAAGGAATTTGTGGTTAACCGCATCTGAAAAGATAAACAGACATCGGTTGCATTCTGTACACGCCTATGGTTATGTATGGTTATGTAGATAAGAATATAACTGTATAATTGCATTTTGATATTGGTTGCACCCCTTAAATATCAGGGTGTAGTTAAGTATTTAACTTGTTCCTTACTTGATCTTGTATAATGATCTAATTAAGAATGATGAGTGTGGAATATAGACTTAACAGCTACTCACCAGGCTATTGTTCATTTTATTTTTTTTTTGTTGTAAAAAGAGTAGCAACACAGAATGTCAAACTACTGTCAACGAACAACATTTTAGTGCGTTATCCTTTGAACATACATCCAAGCAGTTAGGGTGAACACGATACCTTTTTTTTTTTTTTGCGTCCGTCTGTCACGGTTCGTTTTCAACATGCTGTCCACGCCCGCCCCCAACCGCTCGCGGGGCTATGCTGTAGCAAAAAAAAAGTAGTAATACAGAACGCTAAACTACTCTCAATGAACAGCATATTACTGAGCGTCTTATAACATATATCCAAGCAGATAGTGTGATCACATTACTTTTTTTAAATCGTACCTCTGCCCCGTTTCGTTTCTTGACATGCTTTCCACGACCCCCAACCGTTCGCATAGCTATGCAGCGGTTTGTAGCCCCGTCTGTAATCATAGATAAGAACACAGTACCTTATGGAGATAAACACAAGTTTTTCTGTCACAGCCTAAATCTGCAGCCACTGGGCCAAGTCATGTCAATTTGGACATTTGTTCTGACTTTTTCAAAGCTAGCAGACCAAGATAACTCTAATCAGCAGGCAGCTGTAGAGCCAAGGAAACCCTTAGTGATGTGCTGGGTCATGATAGTTAGAAATTCACCCCACTATCTCTAAGAATTATATCCATATTGGGTGATTAGTGTGAGATATTAACTGTGTGAGACATTGCAACTTCAGGCATCAACACTGTTCACTGTGCACACAAGAATATGTATTGTAGAAAACACTAGTATCTTTATACACTATATGGAATATTAAGGTTGCTGTATGATTGCAGCACAAGCACTGTTTGGAAATCCTTATCTTAATATGACACTGTTTTGGAAATAAAAGTG